GCTGCTGCCGTGCATCTGTAAGTAGGGCTTGGGCAGCGAGTGTGGATGGAGGCTGGGCAGAGGCTGGGCATGTGAGTGCGAGTCTGGGAGTAAGAAGGAGATAGAAAGGAATGCCCTCTGACAATCATATATATATTAATCACAACACACATACATATATATATTACCGAACAACAACTATATATACAACTCTATATGTGGAGGTGGCACACAACCTACTATATATACAATTATATGTGAATACACAACTTTCTTCTCTCTCTCTATATATATAGTTAAATTAATGTACTGCTAGTGTGAATTTCAAACATCTATCCACCAGTGTTAACATAACAAACATCATCTTTTCCCCAATCTTCTCATGGTATGTTTTTATAGTCGTGTGTTGTTGTATTCCTGTGGTATGGTGTTCTCACCCCAGGACTGGAGTGGCAGTGGTGTGATTATACCTCACTCAGCCTCGAACCTTCTAGCCTCAAGCCTTATCCTCCGTGCCTGCAGCCTCTGAGTAGCAGGGACTTACAGGGCACACTATTTTTTTTTTCTGTTTCCTTCAAGAGATGTTTAGCTTCTGGCAAGTCTGGTCTCTGTCTGGTTGTAGTGCTCCTTCTGGCTATGGTCCTGTAATTCGCCAGTCTCTTTGGGAGGGCTGAGGTAGGCAGATGTTCTCCCGTTCGGCGTCTCTCGTCTTCGTGTGTCATGTGTGCTGTCGTAGCTCTCTAGCCCTGGCCAACAATGTGAACCTCATTCTGTCTGTATCTCTGTATCTTATCTGATCCGGTCTTCGGTCTATCCTCGATGTGCATAACTTAGCTGTGCCTGCTCTGTATTGCGTGTGAAATCCCATGGACCTGTTCACACTCCTAGTCTCTTCCTTTGCTCTACTCAGGGAGGCTGAGACAAACGAGCGGAGAGTGCGCTGAACTTTAAAGGCGCTCGATGGTTTTCGAGAGGCACGAGGTTGCGGTAAGCCAAGATGCACCACTGCCGACTCTCAGTCCTGGGTGATGTCGCTCGTCCGTGTCTACTTGCCTCATTCTCAGAAGATAAGATAATAAAATAACTAAGAGAAAGAAAAGAGCAAAATGAAAAAAAAATAAATATTCGCCTCTAAGAGTATGTTGGTTCTCTTATTCCGAATAAAATATGAGATCCTCCTTGTATATCTTCCGTTCTTTTCTTTCTCTATTCCTTACTGTACTCCTCTTCTACAACGGTGTTTTCCTCCTAGCATTATCAGTGACATTCTTTCTCTTACAAGATCTACTTTTAAAAAATGCTCTCGTCTTATTAATCCATTTAATTTAACGGATGTCGTATTTTAAAAATTATTGTTTTAATTCCATGTTACGATTATAAGGATTTAAGTATTTATTTATCTAGTAGTCCTCTGTAATTGCATGTACCTTGTTTCCAGTTTCTCAGTCTTACAGATAATCTCCAGTGGAATGTCCTTTGCCGTTGCGTGAGATTTCGTAGGCTATGATCTTCTTTTTTTTTTTGAGATAGAGTCCATTCTGTCACCCAGGCTTTGATGTGGCGGCAATCTCAGCTCACTGCAACCTCACGCATCTTCTTGGGTTCAAGTGATTCTTCCTGCCTCCCAGGCCTCCTAGTATCTGATTAACAGGCAGCTTGCCATCCCCCATGGCCCAAGCTAATTTTCGTATTTAGTGGAGATGGGGTTTTCACTGTGTTGGCAGAGCTGGTCTGAACTCGCTGACCTCAAGTGATCTACCTGCCTCGGCTTCACAAAGCTGTTGGGGTCACAGGCATGAGCCACTTGCACCAGGCCTCTGGTGGGTCCAAGATTGTTTAATACTGTCATTTCAGGTTCCAACCTTGGCTTTCTCCATCTCATTAATATACAAATATTTATTTAAATCTGTAATTCAGAGCAAAGCGCACATAGTCCTGTTCCTTTTCCTGTTTCTTGGCTTCAGTAAAGCCATTGGAGGTGCTGAGATGATGATTCTCCACAGCCCCATCCCTCAGATGCCTCTATTCTTGAAAAATGCCCTTCCAACCTGAGAGAGCCTAGGACCTTAGAGATGCCTTCCACCCCACAACTGTGAAGAAGCTCAGACATTCTGTCAGGTTGAGGGGCAGCTGCTGTAGCAGTTGGGGCACAGGAATCTTGCACCAGGTGCAATTGCTCATTGGCTCCCTGCTCTCCCATCAGCTTGTGTCCTTTTTTCTTTCAATTTCTGTATTGCCCCATTCCTTTCCAGTTTCCCTGATTTTACTGTTGTGTAGAGAACTGGCTGTCTTCGGTGGGGTCCTTCTGTGTTTTGTGTGTCCTTGTGTCTGGCCTGGGCTCATCTCTGTGTATGTTTGTCATACATGGCAACAGTCAGGGAGGGGGTGGAAGGCCACACTTTGTGTTTGCAAGAAGGGGGTTTTCACTGAGCGTTTTTTTTTTTTTTGAGACAGAGTTTCACTCTTGTTGCCCAGGCTGGAGTGCATGGCGCAATCCCGGCTCACCACAACCTCCGTTCTCCCGGGTTTCAAGTGATTTTCCGCCTC